AACTGAGTATGTGACGCTGCAAGCAGGGCTGGGTTGAAAGGAAGGGGTTGCCTGGTCTAAGAGACCAGAGTTTGTTTGAGTGTGTAGCGCGTAGTGTGGATATTGTAACAGGTTTGGGTAGCCAGCAGGCCTTTGTACAGATGCATGGGCTGTGCGGGTGCAGTTTTTGTAACGGGTTAAGGTTTTCTTTGTGGAGTGATACTCAGAGTGTAGATATATATATATTTTGTTCTTTTTACAAAAAAAAAAAATCTTCTAGAGAAATAACCAATCTTGGTTTAAAAAATTTTAGTGAAGAATCTGCCAAGGCATGGCCAGTTGTTAACTGTTCCAATGAAGTACCCTTCCCATTAAAATAATTATGCCTTATTTCACATCTAAATTTATCCAGACTTAATTTCTAGCTGTTGGTTTTTGTTATCCCCTTGTCCTCTCTCTGAGTCCCCTCTATCAAATTTCTGTTCCCATGTAGGTAGCCAATTGCAATCAAGACTTATAACTTCCTCATCTGTGAACCTAAACAGGCTGAGCTTCTTGTGTCTCTCACAAGATACCATGCTATCCATCTTTAGATCATTCATTTCTATGACTCTTCCCTGAACTCTTTCCAATTTTTCAACATCCTTGCTGAACTGTGGACAGTAGAACAGGACACAACATTCCAGTAATATTCATAGTAGGGCTAAATGCAAAGGTAATAAAAATTCCCTACCCATCCTTGACATCCTCTTGCCAAGAATCTTATTATCCCTTTTCGCTGCAACACTGGAATAAAAACTCATGTTTATCTGATTATCTACCACAGTCCCCAGGTCTTTTTCAGAGTCCCTCCTTCCCAGGTAACATCCCCCACTCCTTTTAGTATGGCCTGCATTCTTTGTTCCTAGATTCATACCTTTTTATTTATTTGCCTGTGCTGAACCACACACTGTTTTCTTGCACCCCACTTATCAATCAATCCACATGGGTCTGTGTCAGCGATCTGTCCTCTTGATCATTAACCATGTCCTCAATATTGTGCCATCTTTATGAGTAAGGATGTCACATTTTGTTCCAGGTCATTGATTAAATGCGGACAAGCATTAGGGCAAGAACTGACCCTTGTGAGACCTCATTAGATACACATCCACTTGTCAATGCTTTCCCATTTCTAACTAATTCTCAACTGAATCCAATATCAACATTCATTATTTTTTGCTTAGAGTGATACCAGGTTATCCATTTTACTCTTTAATTACTGATATGTGCATATTTAAAAAGTCTAAAGTTGAATATTCTCCTAAATTACTGGTAGAAGAAAAGTTATTTTCACTGTCATCATGTGACTAATTCCTCAACTGGCTTTTCCCCCCAAAGACAGAACATGAATATTTTGAATACCCCTACCTTTTTTGATTATTGACAATACTATTATTTCTATTTAGTAATGGACCAAAATCATTGAAAGGATTCCTTTGGCTCCAATAACCTTAACATTTTTTCCTAGACAGATTTTTCATTGTATCCTTTTTCTTCCCTTACCAGTTTTCTACCATTCTGAGCTTCTAATTTATATTCGGTCATAAGTCTTCCCTTTCCTACTCTGACTTCTTTACCCCATTCTTTGCAGATGATCTTCCTGTACTCATCTTGTCTTTAGCAGATAAGCTACTTAGGACATGAATAATATTATCTTCTATCTCTGTGAAGCACCATGCACATCTTTTTTCCTAAAAAAAATAATTATTAAGCAATAATACAATCTGTGCTTGTTACTTCAGAAAAAATAATCCCATCCATTGTAGCACATGGATTTTTCTGAAATTACTAATTCCACTGTAATAATGCCCAGGGCCTTGCTCATCAAGCTAAGCACAGTAAAAAATATGGTCACTCCCCTAAACACTTTTGGATTTAATTTTATATCAGCTGAATATGGCACATTTATTCTACAATATAATTCCTTGTTATTGTATTTGAAAAAAAAAACAAAACAGTTTTTGGGTAGTTTGTTCATAAGCCCCAATGGTAAAACTAGGAATGCTGGAAAAGATCTACAGTGGCTTTGACACTGGTCACAAGAGACATCTCAAATTACTAAAAGTATACACTGTTGTTGGAAAACAAAAGTCCCTCAAAGAAAGTAAAATGAAAGGAAAATGAATCAGACATTTGAACAGCTGGAAACATTTTTAGAACCACCAAATGAGGCAGGAATTTTCGTAGAATAATGTTTCTTTTTCTGTAATAAAAATCACAGCAGCAAAACAACACATTCTCAAGAGACTTGATCATGTCTACTTCCCAAAGATATTCCATCAAATGAAAGTTAGCAAAGTTGACAAATTATATTGTGTCACAAAAATCCAAAACTAGAATTGGTTATTAGCTTTCTTTATCCCCCAACCCCCAATCAGTTCACTTTCCCCAAATTTGGCCTATTCAGTGAGCATTTGAGTGAAAGCAATTTCAAGTCCACTCCATTGTGACTAAAGGTGACATTTCCTTATCTTTTTCTTTTGTATCAGATTTTGATACAAAAGAAAATTGTATTTTGATTTTGATACAGTTCCAGGCAGCTTTCTAGAAATGTGAATAGTTTAGAGAAATAACAGGATGATATATAAACACTCTTTTTTCAGCTGAATAAATTAGGAAGAATGCTGTTGGACAAGCTGTTGGGCTTCACATGTCCTCTCAGGTCCTTTCCAAAAGCATGTCCAACAGCTCTCCCAAATATAGTTAGTCCAAAAAAATGTCACAAAAAATCTTTACCTCTCATACACTCCCTGGAACATCATGGCTACACTGCTCCACATCTACTAAATGAGGGAAGTTACAGTAGTCTCCATGGAGGGAGGAACAGTCAGTATAGACAAACTTCCACCTGTAGCAGTTAGGGTGATTTAACACACTTGCACCAATACAGACTTACACACATGTAACAGTTACAGCATAACAGCTACTGCATGATGAGAGAAGTAGCTCCCCCTTCCATTTTTGCAGCTACAACAAGTGTGCATGTGTCCATAGCCAAAAAAACCAATATAGATATTTTGTTATGGACACAGACAAACAAATCACTATGAGTTAAAAGGGGGTTGGGCCTTACTGCACATCAACTACTCCATGATCACTATCTGTGTACTCACATCAAATCCACAGTAAGCAAAACTATGGTAAACCAAACTATGGTAACTTAATCTTGTTTCATTGAAGAGCAGCATGGTTTAGCTTTATTTTGCTGCAAGTAAATACAGACCAACAGACAATTACCATGGAGTAGCTGATATG